AATCGACGGTTTTATCCTGGAAGGATTTATTGGCATTAAGTGTTACATATAGTCATGTAGCATATAACATGTTATTTATACCAAGTAATGTACTACTTTTTTTTGACTGCAAACAGCTGGTGTTGTAGATTATTAGATTATTTTTGTTAGGAATCTTGGTTGGCAAGTTTTAGGTTCTACAAAGGTGAAGATTGGTTGTCGGTCTGATCTGTTGTTTATTTGATGAAGGCTTATGTTTTTAGAGGAAAATGGTGAAATATTAAATAGAACTAGATAACTAGTAATACAGCCTTAGTATATATTCTTGAAACAAAATATGTATGGTGCATGTGTTGGAAGTTCTATAGTTAGCTGATGATTACATTTTGGAAGGATTTATTGGTATTATTCTTTATTGTTATATTGTGTAAAATAATATTCATGCCAAATGATGTGCTAGTTTTGAAGTTATGACTCTAATGAGTGGAAAAAGCTTGTAGATTTTGCTCACGTTTGCTGGGAAACTTGTTCTGAAGGTGGTGGTTATGTTGGTTTGTATGTTGAGGGGTCTTGTTTTTGGGGGAATAAGATGAGCAAAGTGATATGAATCAGGAAGCTGCATGTTGTAATTGCCAAATTTTTGGGGTATTGAGGGTTGTGGAATTACTTTCTGGGCTTATGTCCAAGTTAGAATTAAGTCTTGTCATTGTCTAAATAAGCTCTATGCAATCTTATTGTTTTGTGTACACAGTACTATTATATATCTTACAGTCGTCGTTGCAGAGAATATTAAGTTGAAGCCAGAAAGTGTTGTTGATAATTGAAAAGAGTGGGGAAATATATTCAAATGTTTTGCTGCTAAGTGGATTGTTGCCTTCTTTCATATGCTTAATTTTATCAGATGTCACGTGAGAGATTGTTGCTTCTTTTTGGACTTTGTTATGGGAGCAAAATCTAAGGTTGCATGATAACAAATTAAAGATTGTTGCTTCTTTTTGGACTTTGTTATGCAATCTTATTGCTTTTTTTTCTTTTTTTTATTATTTATTTGGTAGCTTCCATTGCAGGCTGTATTGGTAATAGCGGCTAGTTTATTTCTCTTTAGTAAATGAGGAAAGGTCTAGTATGAATATACGCTTTCTAGTATTTGTAGTGTTAGGTACCAATTACCAAGTGTAGCCTTGCTATCTTTGAGTATTTCTTGCAAAACTGTGATTTTAAAATTGTAGAATGAGTGAAATTACGAGGCATTGCTTTAAAGTATCTAAGTTTTGAGAGAGTATGGGGTGCTGTCTTTGTATTTTGATGGCTTTATGTATATTTGATTTGAGGGTTAATTTGACAAGAGCCGTTGATTTAAGGATGAGAGAGTGTAAATATTGTGGGAGTATGATGATCGTAACAGTACTGTATTAAAAATCCTAGCATCCAAAGTTACCCAAATAATGGTCAGAAGAATTTTGACTGACTGCATTAGGTATATACTACTGATACTTATCTTGAGCAGCTTATTGAAAAAGATGTTAGGAATTAGGATTAGATTTATGGAAGAATCTTATCCTGGGGCTAGGGTGGGTTCAAAGGGTATTTTTTTTCTTTTCTTTTTTTATTTTAATTTTTATGTTTAATTAATGTCTATAGATCACCAAGGGTAATGATGAAGATGAGATTTGACTTTACTTTCAAAGTCTATACCAACATTGTCAACTAGCTTGATGGCATCTATATATTATTATTTATTCATGGCAATGATCAACCTCAAAGAGAAGTAAAGAAAACTCTCATATGCATATTAATAATTTAGCTTAATAGGTGAAGATTTTCAAGTTTCTTGAGGGTAAGATTTGGAATTTTTGCATTGCTTTATAGTTTATATATTGTACCATCCAAAGTGAGGATGTATTTTACAATTGTGCTCTCCTCTGTGACTACTGTGTTCCTTGGATGTTTAGGACTAGTGAGATATTCCAACCAAAGGTATTATGATTCCTTTGTCAGTAGATATGTAAATTCTAAAGATTGAAGAGTGAAATCACATTGATAATTGGGAACTGAGTTATTGATATCTTTTCCTCTGATTGGTTTGTTGTGTGAATACTTGGGAAAATAGTTGACATTAAGGGGATGGCTAAGCTGCTCATAGTGTTGGCAAGCAGACATAAACTGGATAAAGCTGTTGTTATGGGCTATCGTGGGTTTAGGTTCTTTCAGGATTTACAAGCATTTGAATTGGTTTGAGTCAAGTTGATTGATTCTAATGTGTGATTTTACTAGATTCAAACCCATTCCATTCACTATTTTGTGCATGTGGGAGCATGATGTGTGTTAAGTTTGTAATTAATGATCTTTTTCTTATACTTACATGTTGCTTAATTGCATATTCTCTTATAATGAATTGTATGTGCTTTAATTTGCCTGTACTAAAAGCTTATCTCCTTGAACTTTCTTTATTAAAGTAACTCATCAATTTTCTCATTGGAGGGATGTCAATTTCATGCATTGAAAATGAAATTGATATTGAGACATCATATTGAAAATAAATAACTTTATATCTATTGTTTGTCCAAATTTTAAAGGCAAGGATGGCTTGTTTATTTAAGCATTTATTATGGTTAATTATTAGCCGTTTTGCCTAAGTTGGAGAGACTTATGAAGGTTCATACACATAACATCGGGTCGACCTTGTGTCAAAATCATAGGGAGTGATTTGAGATGATGATAATTTATTAAAAGAGGTCTTTGTAAAAGTTACTTCCTCCGTTCTGTTAATATTGCAACAAGGAGGAAATTACGCATCCCAAAACACATTTTATATGCTAAATATCTATAATTGTGTAAGAGTAAAAATTACAAAAAGTTGATATTGTGAAAGTATTATATGAGACGAATCCAACAAGATCCCACTTGACTATATTTTGTTTAACGTATAACTCATATTATATGGTCAAACAAGATTGATGAATAGTGCAAAAAGTCCATTGTTGCAATATTAATAGAACGGATGAAGTAAAACATTTCGGACCCTACAGTGTACTCTTATGGGTGGGTGGAGACTTGTCTTAAAGATGGTGTCTTATCTTTTGTCTTTGTAATGTTGTCCCTTGCCTAATAATGTCTGTGTAGTTGGAATGTCTTGTTTTTTAGGAGGGCCTTAAATTTAATGCAGGGTAAATCAGTAGTTGCAAGTTATAATAAAACAGATGGATATTTTCCTCAAGATATTTCCTTTAGGATAGTATAGAATTTAGACCATCATGATGTCAATTTTGTTGTTTTTTATGACATTCTATTTCATTTGCATTGAAATTTTGAAATGGATATGCTTATATATAGATGTAATATTGATTTGAGCATGCAAGTGATTTCAAAAGCATGAGATGTAAACTTATTAAATAAAACTATACTCGTAGGAGCTAGTACGCATGAAATCTACGCTGCTGATAATCTAAGAATTGAATCTGATCTACACCTAACCGTATCAGGACCAACAACCCGTAATAGATTTAACCTGAATAGGACATTTCCTGCTATAAACCCTCTAGTTATCTAAAATTCGTTGAACTTGACAAAACCAATAAGAAAAGTATGACATTAACTTGTGACCGTGGTCGCCACCATTGTGTTGTAGCATTTGATGATGAGCTGATTGCAATCCGTGTCATAGTTGCTGTAAAAGTTGATTAGTCTGTTAGGATTTAACAATGATTAAGGTATACTAATAGAATTCGTCAAAAAAAAAAAAAAAAAAAAAGTATACTATTAGAAGCTAATTGCTACACTTTAAAAAGTACTTGCATGATATGGTTACTTGATGCCAAAATTACCTTAAATCCAAATAATCAACTTTAATTCATTCACAACTTGGACTAGATTTACATAAACTCAATAGACCTGTTGACACAGCCCTATGCCCCTACCTGCCGAAGGTGTTCAAGCTAGGAAGGTCACTCTGCCTCTGTCTTGAACACGTTCACGAATGCACTGTCGGCCAAATTAACACGGTGTCAATTTGATTCAATAAGTATTGTCTTGTCATAGGTTAACCCAAAACTGATTTGAGGACTCTTAACTCATGGTAAGGGTAACAAGGTGTTCCCTACAGTTTATAAAAGTAGAGCACTATAAAGTATCAAAGTCACAAAATTGCTAAAAGTAAAGCTTTATAAAGTAGCAAAGTAGTTATTGTAAACCGAGTTAATTAATTGTAAACCGGTCTGTATGATCCACCCGACTTTATTCGGAATGTAATCTTGGAGAATAAACCTCCCTAACTCTCTTGTAACTTTTGATACTTCTCTAATCTAATTTCTGCAGTGAGGGATAGCTCAAGTGGTTAGAGCTCCCCTCCTGGTTCCAAGAGATCTTGGGATCGATTGTACTTGTATTAAGGAAAAAATAAACTGATTGTGTATTACAAAGTGTGTTTTAAAGTTTAACACCTAGTAAAAAAAATAAGCTGATTTGTGTATTATGTTTTTTTTTTTTTTCAAGTATGAGAGACTTGATTTTAGAGAGAATCTCATTTGAACATAACCATTAGCTATTAGGGGCTTGATTATGAAAATGGCGTTGCCAGAGATAACATGATTTCTTAAATTGCCCAAATTAGATGCAATCAACTTTAACTGGTCTACAACTTGAATTGGATTAATCTAAATTCTAAACTCAACATGAGATTTCCGACTTGAACACAACCGGTCAAACTGGCCGGTGGCCAACTTAACTCATTTCAACTTGACTTGAAACCTATTTTTAGAATTCTGACTCGTCATAAGGGGTAGCTAATTACAAAGTAAGCCTTATAAAGTATCAAAGTCACAAATCTGCTAAAATTTAGATTTATTAAGTATCAAAGTCCCAAAGTTATTGTAAACTATTGAGTTATTTTACAGAGGAGATTCTAATAATTTGGTTTAAACTCTTCTTGCAATTCCTATAATAATTTTTTTTAAGTAAATCTAGCAAACTATATATAATGAAGTGATGTATAAAAATTCAAATGAATAGATTATTTAACATTTTTTTACCTCCAAATCATGTAACGTAGTTCCTTATCTAGTTATAGGAAAGTGACTATAGAACATGTATTCAAAACTAACTTGATTGTGACATGAATGGTTCTTGAACCCTGTATTGAACTTTATTAGCTTGTTCATGAGACACAAATAATGCACCATTAATTTGTTGACACAGTCAAGTTTAGATTGCTTATAAAGTAGCAAGCTCCTATATTATTTGTCGGTGTGATTTTGAAATAAACCAAAATGGCTTGTGGCAACTTTTACTTGTTACTTCTCATTGTTTTTGGTGTTGTTCATAGTGGACATGGCCAGCTTTCACCAAATTTCTATTCCTCTTCTTGCCCAAATGCTCTTAGTATTGTTAAGCAAGGAGTGGCAAAAGCTATAAAAAACGAGGCTCGAGTTGGAGCATCGTTGCTTAGGTTGCACTTTCATGATTGCTTTGTCAATGTAAGTGCTTAAGGCGGCCACACTATAAGGCAATATTTGCAATATTTTGATTCTAATATGTGTAGGTGATTGTTTAAGTGTTGATTATTCATGCCATGCTTGTTAATCAGGGTTGCGATGGATCAATTCTACTAGATGACACTTCAACATTCACAGGTGAGAAAACTGCTATACCTAATAATAACTCGGTTCGTGGATTTGAGGTTGTGGACCAGATTAAGGCCAATTTAGAGAAGGCATGCCCTGGAGTAGTCTCCTGTGCTGATATTCTTGCTCTTATAGCTCGTGATGCCGTTGTTTATGTAAGTTGTTTTTGAATGTTACTCTTTGCTCCCTACATAATCCTTTTCCACTTAAAATGCCTAGTTGATTATCTTGTTTAATTTATTGTTCATGTACATTATGGAGGCAATTAATTATGGAATTAAAATGAAACTAAGGAGGAATATTTGATGGTTCGACGTAAATAGGGTTAAAGTAACTCAAATAGAACTATGATATTTGATTTTAGCTCAGAGAGACCCGAAAGGACAATGATATAGACGGGATTTGATCCCTAGGTACCACCCTACCCCAAGACTTTAAGCTAGTTGATATCCACTAGGGTTAAACTAACTCAAATAGAACTATGATATTTGATTTTTTAGCGTAGAGAGACCCGCAAGGGCAATGATGTAGATGAGATTTGATCTCTAAGTACCACCCTACCCCAAGACTTTAAGCTAGTTGACATCCACAGAACATTAATGTGCACGTGTTTTATACAAACTATTTAGCTAACATGAAAATGGCAATTGCAGTATGGCGGTCCTACATGGAAAGTAGGATTGGGAAGAAGAGATTCTCTTACAGCAAACAGAAGTGCAGCCAATGCCTTTATACCTCAACCTTCTTTCAATCTCAGTAATCTCACTTCCAGTTTTGCCGCTGTGGGTTTATCATTCAAGGACATGGTGGTCCTCTCTGGTACGCCTAATGTCTATACTGTTTTCTTTGCCCTCGAGTAAACATCATTTCTCAAACATTATCAGCTCGTTTGATAGGCAGTAGTAAATGGTTGTTATAATAATGAGATATAATATAATGTATCCATATACAATTACTATCACCACCACTCATTTCCATTACAAAAATTTATTTGGCAAATGGGACTTGTAGGATTTTACCTCGATTATCTAATACTTAATCAGTTTTCTTTTAAATGCAAAACACCTTCTCGGCACGCACTTTGAGGAAGAGGTTTAGTAATGTAAACACATAAATTAATCTAAAAAATTTATACATGTAGTACCTAACCCTTCTATAATCTTGGTCCTGCAACTATTTTGATAAAGTAGCTCGTTTATCTAGTCTAATCATCTCCTAAAAAAGCGTGTTAGAAGGGTGTGTTGCGTTTAAAAGAAAACAGAGAAAGTACTTCATATATACAAGTACTTTATAATTTTATACTTCGTATGAATTATAAGGATGGTCAGAGAATTTATATTGAATGGACGTTAACATTTCATTATCTTTTTGAATATGAATTGAAAATGAAAGTTTTGACATGTATAATGCTGGTGACATGATGTTACATATGGATGGACGTGGTGTTTTATCCTTCAAATTGAACTCATTTGGTTGCTGCTTTGTTAATTTTGTGCATATAGGCGCGCACACAGTTGGATTTGCTAGGTGCACAAGTTTCCGGTCACATATCTACAATGACACCAATATTGATGCCGCTTTCGCTAAATCACTACAGAACAAGTGTCCTCGAAGTGGAAGCAACAACGTTTTGCAGCCCCTGGACTATCAAACAAAGTTTCAATTTGATGAAAAGTATTACCAGAATTTACTGGTAAAGAAGGGGTTGCTTCACTCAGACCAGCAACTTTACAATGGAAATAAGGCTGATTCCTATGTTAAAATGTATGCAATGAAGCAAGGCGAGTTCTTCAGCGATTTTGCTGCTGGCATGATTAGAATGGGGAACATCAAGCCACTTACTGGAAGTAATGGCGAAATCCGGCGTTCTTGCCATAAAACCAATTAAGAAAATACCATGGCATGGTTTTTTCAACTGTATATTGCCGTGAATCCAATTAAGAAAATACCAAGGCATGGTTAGTTTCAGTTATATACCTATAACGGCTATAAGTGTTGTTTATGATTGTGTAATTCAGTCAAGCAGACACTGTATTATAACCCACACTATACAACAATATTATAATCTGTCAATATGAAGAATAATGGTTATATATGTGTTTATTCTCTTTAAAAATAATTATTGTATATATATATATATATATATATATATATATATATTTTATTTTATTTTTCCGGTTTCGGAGTGATTTTCACCGGTGGTTAGGATCACCTTATCTTTTTTCTGCCTTATGGTTGCGCATTTAGAACCAATAAATCTCTAGTTGGAAAAAATTAAAAATAACTCTGCTTTTGCTAATCTACTCAGCCATACTGATTTTCCAAGCATCGCATCAAAACTGTAATTGTGTGCACACTTTAAAATCAAGTCATATCGATGAAAATGAAAGCTTACCAAGTGTTGGCCACTAAACGATACAAGAAGAGAAATAGTAAACAACATTCATGCATCTAGGACTGGGGAAACATTGTAACTATTAGCGACTAACAAGTTTCATAATTTAATCCAGAAAAAGTTTCAAAATATACCATTTAGTAGGTTAATAAGTTGAGTTTTACATTTTGTAATATCACCATACTCTGGAAAACATAATCAGGTGCGGAGATTCATGCTGTTGTGGAACTTGAAGCGCTGCTAATAGCTACCAAAAAAAAAAAAAAAAAGCTTGGCATCTGGAAGAAGTTTACTGCGGGATCTCTTGAACACACATATGGTTCTATACAAACACAAAACTAATCTAGTCTATTCAACACTTTATAAGATGGTAAAACCCCCTTGTTTTTTTTAAGCTAAATGTCATTTCTTAAAACTGTTGGACTATTATAGTTTTGACTAGAGTTGTCAAAAGTTGACCCGACTCGAAATATCGACTCAAACCTGATTATTAACCGACACATCTAAACCCGAAAAAATAGTGAACCAAACCCGACCTAAAACCAACCCTAGACCCGAGTTGACCCGAGTATGTGAGACCCAAACCCGAACATGAACTGACCTGGAGATGACACGACCCGGATGTAACCCGTAAATTATTGACCTGAACCGAAATTAACCCAAACCCATTTTAACCCGTCAAAACCCGAATTTAATCCGACTTGTTACTAACCTGACCTGAATTCAACCCGACCCGCTCCTAACCCGAATCGAATTTAACCCAACCTGTTATAAACCTGACCCGAAATCAACCCGACTTGTTATTGACCTGACCCAAATTCAACCCGATTTGTTATTGACCTGACCCAAATTTCACCTGACCTATTACTAACCCGACCCAAAAACTCAACCCGATCTATTACTCACCCGACTCGAAATAAACACGACTTGTTATTGACCCTACCTAAATTCAACCCAAATTGTTCCTGACCCGATTTCAAATCACCTTAAATGCAATTTAGACCACCTTATTATTGTTGATCAAAGCATTTTGTCAGGAAGACCAAGTTAGTTCAGGCCAGCAAAATAAAGGAGCAACATCCTCAAATTTAAGAGTTAAATATAGTATATATTTGTCGTATAGTCAAAGGAGTTAATTATCTTCCTAAATTATAGACTATAAATCCCAAGTATATTGCCATATATATTACAGTCAAGGGAAATAATTAGCTTGATAAAAATGATAATTATCTATTTATAGTTAGTTCAACCCGAATATGACCTGACTTGGAAATGACCCGACCTGATTGTAACCTGCAAATTATTGACTTGAACATAATTCGACTTGAATCCGAGAATGACCCGACTTGGAAATGACCTAACCTGATTATAATCCGCAAATTATTGACTTGAACAACCAATTTACCGGTTTAAAACTTGCACCGATTTCATTAAGTCAAGCCTACCACGAACATTTATGACAACAAAATAATGATCATATATGGGTCAAAATGACATTATATGACCACAAGATGTATTCCCTAGAAATTAAAGACTTTTAGACACCGGGCACCGAAGAATCCAAAATTTCTCTAAAAGTGTGGATATTAGCCTTCAATTTTTGAATTTTTTGACTTTTTTTCGCCAGTAAATAAAAATTGGCGAAATGTTTACAATGATCCCTAATACCCTCTGGGAGCCCAATTGGGTGGATGGAATCATCCAACTTGCCATTAAACGACCAATTTACCGGTTTACAACATGCACCGATTTCCTTAACTCAAGCCTACCACGAACGTTTATGACAACATATAATGATCATATATGGTTTCAAATGGAATTATATGACCCCGAGATGTATCACCAAAATTCTAAAGGATTTTCGACACCGGGCTCCAAAACCTTCAAAATTTCTCAAAAAACGCGGATTTAGCCTTCAATTTTGGAATTTTTCGACTTTTTCACCCATAAATAAAAATTGCCGAAATGTTACCATGGTCCCTTATATCCCCCGGGAGTCCAATTGGGTGGGTGGAACCATCCGGTTTGCCTTTAAATGACCAATTTACCGGTTTACATCTCGCTGCGATTTTGTTAACTCAAGCTTATCGCGAACATTTATGACAACATATAATGATCATGTATGGTTCCAAACAGCATTATATAACCCCGAAATTTATCCCCTAAAATCTCAATCCTTTTCGACACCAGGCCTCGGAACCTCCAAAATTTCTCAAAAAAGCGTGGATATTAGCCTTCAATTTTGGAATTTTTTTACTTTTTTCGCCTGTAAATAAAAATTGCCGAAATGTTTACCATGGTCCCTAACACCTTCCGGGTGTACAATTGGTTTGGTGGAATCATCCAATTTGCCTTTAAATGGCAAATTTACCAGTTTACAACTTGCACCGATTTCATTATCTCAAACCTACCATGAACATTTATGACAAAGTATAATGATCATATATGATTCCAAATGGCATTATATATATGACCCCGAGATGTATTCCCTAAAATCTCAAGGATTTTTGACACCGAGACGTGAAATCTCAAAAATTTCTCAAAAAACGTGAATATTCGCCTTAAATTTTGGAATTTTTTGACTTTTTTCGCCTGTAAATAAGAATTGCCAAAATGTTTACCATGTTCCCTAATATCTTTCGGCAGTCTAATTAGTTGGGTGGAACCATCCAATTTGCCTTTAAATGGCGAATTTACCAGTTTACAACTTGCACTGATTTCATAAAATCAAGTCTACCACGAACATTTATGACAACATATAATGCTCATTTATGGTTTAAAACAGTATTATATGACCTCGAGATGTATCCCCTAAAATCTCAAATCTTTTCGACATCGGGCCCCGAAACCTCAAAAATTTCTCAAACAGCGTGAATATTAGCCTTCAATTTCGAATTTTTTTGACTTTTTTTCGCATGAAAATAAAAATTGTTGAAATGTTTACCATGGTCTCTAATACCCTCTAGTAGTCTAATTGGGTGGGTGGAACCATCCAATTTGCCTTTAAACGACCAAAATACCGGTGTACAACTTGCACCGATTTCATTAACTCAAGCCTACCACAAACATTTATGACAACAAATAATGATCATATATGGTTCCAAACAAAATTATATGACCCACAGAGGTATTCCCTAAAATCACAAGACTATTCTACACCGGGTCCCGAAACCTCCAAAATTTCTCAAAAATCATGAATATTAGCCTTCAATTTTGAAATTTTTTGATTTTTTTCGCTTGAAAATAAAAATTGCCGAAATATTTACCATGGTCCCTAATACCCTCCGGGAGTCTAATTGGGTGGGTGGAACCATCCAATTTGCCTTTAAACGACCAATTTACCGGTTTACAACTTGCACTGATTTCATTAACTCAAGCCTACCACGAATATTTATGACAACATATAATGACCATTTATGGTTTCAAACGGAATTATATGACCCCGAGATGTATCCCATATAATTTCAAGACTTTTGGACACCGGGCCCTTAAACTTCAAAAATTTCTCAAAAAGCGTGGATATTAGCCTTCAAATTTGGAATTTTTTGACTTTTTTTCGCTTGGAAATAAATAATGCCGAAATGTTTACCATGGTCACTAATTCCCTCCGGGAGTCCAATTGGGTGGTCGGAACCATCCAATTTGCCTTTAAACGGCCAATTTACCGATTTCTAACTTGTACCGATTCTTTAACTCAAACCTACCACGAACATTTATGACAACATAAATTGTATCATATACGGTTTCAAACGTCATTATAAGACCCCAAGATGTATTCCTTAAAATCTCAAGGCTTTTCGACACCGTGCCTCCAAAATTTCTCAAAAAGCGTGGAAATTTCTATTTTGGAATTTTTTTACTTTTTTTTTGCCCGGAAATAAAAATTGTCAAAATGATTACCATGATCCCTAATACTGTTCGGAAGTCCCATTTTGGGTGGGTGGAACCATCCAATTTGCCTTTAAATGACAAATTTACCGTTTTACAACTTGCACCGATTTCATTAATTCAAGCCTACCACAAACATTTATGACAACAAATAATGATCCTATATGGTTCCAAACGGCATTATATGACCCCGAGTTGTATCCCCTAGAATTTCAAGACTTTTCGACACTGGGTCTCGAAACCTACAAATTTTCTCAAAAAGCGTGGATATTAGTCTTCAATTTTGGAATTTTTTTACTTTCTTTCGCCCGGAAATAAAAATTGCCAAAATGTTTACCATGGCCCCTAATATCCTCTGAGAGTCTAATTGGATGGGAATAACCATCCAATTTGCCTTTAAACAACCAATTTACCGGTTTACAAGTTGCACCGATTTCATTTATTCAAGCCTACCACGAACATTTATGACAACAAATAATGATCATATATAGTTCCAAACGGCATTATATGTATCCCATAGAATTTCAAGACTTTTCGACACCAGGCTCTTAAACCTTCAAAATTTCTCAAAAAGTGTGGATATTAGCCTTCAATTTTGGAATTTTTTTACTTATTTTCGCCCGGAAATAAAAATTGCCGAATGTTTACTATGGTCCCTATTCCCTTCCGGGAATCCAATTGGATATGTGGAACCATCCAATTTGTTTTTAAATGGCCAATTTACCGGTTTACAACAACCAATTTAATTAACTTGCACTGAACCCGACTTGAACCGAAACTGACCCAAATCCGTTTTAACCTGTCAAAACCCGAATTTAAACCGACTTGTTACCAACCTGACCTGAATTCAACTCAACCCGTTCCTAACTCGACCCGAATTTAACCCAACCTGTCACAAACCCGACCCGAAATTAACCTGACTTGTTATTGACCTGACCCAAATTCAATCTGACTTGTTATTGGCCCGACCCGAATTATACAAGACCTTTTACTTACCCGACCCAAAAATTTAACCCAATTTATTACTAACCCGACTTGAAATTATTACGACTTGTTATTGACCCGACCTAAATTCAACCCAAATTGTTCCTGTTACGATTTCAAATTACCTATTGTTGATCAAAGCATTTTATCTAAGAAGACCAAGTCGGTCCAGGCCAACAAAAGAAAGGAGGATCATCCAAAAATTTAAGAGTTAAATATAGTATATATTTGTTGTATGGTCAAAGGAGTTAATTATAGACTATAGTTACCTAGTATATTGTCATATATATTATAGTCAAATGAAGTAATTAGCTAGATAAAAATGATAATTATCTATTTATAGTTAGTTGAACCCGAATATGACCTGACTTGGAAATGACTCGACCTGATTGTAACCTGCAAATTATTCACTTGAACATAACCCGACTTGAATCCGAGAATGACACGATTTGGAAATGATCTATCCTGATTATAGCCCGCAAATTATTAACTTGAACCGAATCCGACTTGAACCCGAGAATGACCCGACTTGAAAATGACCCGATCTGATTATAATCCGTAAAAATTATTGACTTGAACTGAAGCCCTACTTAAACCCGAGAATGACCCGTCCTGATTCTAACCCGCAAATTATTGACTTGAACCGAACCCGACTCGAACCCGAGAATTACCCTAACCGGTTTTAATCCATGAAAACCCGAATTAAACTCAACCTATTGTTCACCTGACCCGAATGTAACCCGACCTGTTATTAACCTGACCTAAACTCGACCCAAACCCGATAAGAAGTATGACCCGACATGACCCGACTCAAGCATGACCCAACCCAAACCCGACCCACATAGGTTATGGAATAAATCTGAATTGACCCGACCCGAATTAACCCAACCCACTCTTACCCGACCCGTTTACCTGAATTAACAGCTCTACTTTGACAGTCTTTGTAACATACATATTACATACACAGTGGAAAATGCTGCAAGATAATGTTGCACAAGCCAACAAGTGTATGAAAGATGGTAAGATAATGGCTAGTAAAAATTCAAAACAACAATTTATAGCTGAACAATATTCCAGCTTCAGATGGTAAGATAATATATTTACGCAGCTATTATCTAGATTCTAAAAAAGCCTAAAAAGTGCAGGGACAATTGCCCATGTAAGGTAATCAACCTCGGCACCAACATTACACATAGTATAGACTGCTAGCAATCATTCAATTCCATCTCTATATACAACTTTTGAGGCCAAGTCCCCTGCTTCCCTGCTAATATAACATGCCCAGAGACATTCTTATATGAGTTATATCCAAATGTGTATAATCCTCGAAATTACATACCTCTTGAAGACCAAAACTACTGTGATTAAATCATGCCAAGAGTTGTACCTTTGGCAGGCAGAGCTACTACTACCTTCTCTGCCCTGGGCACGTCTGCATTCACTGGTTCCACAGAAGACGTTAACTGGTTTACCTGATCCTTCACCATCACTAAATTGACACCATCCTTTCCTGGGATTAAGGTCAGATCTTCTGCTTCTGTATTCTGATTTGTTTGATCTGTTGGATCAGTGGAGTGATCCATTTGGTGATCTCTAGTGGACGGTGTAATGTCCACTTGTTCTGGTTTTCGAGGGACCAAGTCTATTATTTGGTTTAATACAGGTGGATCAGCTTGTTGTATATCATTTAATGACGGAATCACATCTGCCCGGGCAGTAGCCTGGGTGGCTGTCATTGGAAAATTAGAGTTGTTTTGTTCCTTGTGCGTTTCAGCACTTCCATATTCAGAAAGAAGATCCATGAATTCATTTAGAAGCCTCTGTACTTTCCTATTTGATGCCAGAGCTGGAAGGATGTCTTCTCTCAAGAGTTTGTGTTTCTTCAATCCCTGCAAGCAACCAGCCCATCAATGCACATAGAGTAAAGTACCACCTATAGAGTATAAAGTAGATATCCCCTCCATTTTGCAAATAAATATCACTTTTACCCAGGTTACTTGTACTGGACACGGATAGGTGTCCGATATACAGTGTTTTTCAAGTGTCTAAACCATGTCAGACTCGACACATAGAACCCAAGTTAGGAGTAACAGAATTTACAATGTTTTGTTTAACCCTTTTTGGTGGTAAGATCTAGAGAAAATTTTAATACAAAATACACCTGACATTAAAATTATGTAGGCAATTAAAAAGTGAAAGCCTTACAAGAACACTAGGATCCCACGCGATGTTAGGGTCTGCTATTGCAGCACCACCCATCCCAGTAGGAGGTCCAAGGAAACTCTCACATACTTCTCGTAGTCGAGACTCGTCAGCTTCTCTGTAAACCCACAAAAAAATGTCAATTGTGAATGATAGCAACAGCGCCAGGCAGTAACTAAAATGAAGTAGATACATTTACAACAGAAAACAGATGTGTGTAAAGACTAAATTTGCAACGGCCACTTCACCGTTAAAAATCATAATAAAAAGGTAAAATAAAAGTCAGCAAAGAGCCCAGTGGACAATTTACATTAAACAAGTCATCTCCCTAAAATAAATACAGCATAACCATTTTTTTTTATAAGCTGATAAAAGAATGTCAACGTAAGAAAATCATGGAACTGTACAAAAATTGATATCCACTATTACCTTTACTTAGCCGGCCAACCATTTTTTTTTTTTTAATAAGCTGATAAAAGAATGTCAATGTAAGAAAATCATGGAACTGTAAACAAATTGATATCCACTTTTACCTTTACTTAGCCGGCCGGACTGGGAACGGTCCCTTCCCGGGCGTCGAACAGTCAACTCAGAATTGGTACGGACAAGGGGAATCCGACAGTTTAATTAAAACAAAGCATTGCAATCCTTGCGGATGTTAACGCAATGTGATTTCTGCCAGAAATTCAACCAAGCACAGGTTAACAACGGGAGTCACTATGTGCCTCGTCATCTAATTAGCGACGTGCATGAATGGATTAACGAGATTCCCACTGTCTTGTCTATTATCCAGCGAAACCACAACCAAGGGAAAGAACTTGGCAGAATAGAAGACCCTGTTGAGCTTAACTCTACTCCGACTTTGTGAAATGACTTGAGAGGTGTAGGATAAGTGGGAGCTTCGACACAAGTGAAATACCACCACTTTTAACGTTATTTTACTTACTCCATGAGTCGAAACCGGGGCAATGCCCCTCCTTTTAGACCTAAGGTCCGCTTTGCGGGCCGATCTTGGCGGAAGACATTGTCGGGGGAGTTTGGCTGGGGCGGCACATCTGTAAAATGATAACGCAAGTGTCTTAAGATGAGCTCAACGAGAATGGAAATCTCGTATGGAACAGAAGAGTAAAAGCTCGTTTGATTTTGATTTTCAGTACGAATACGAACCGTAAAAGCATGGCCTAACGATCCTTTAGTTCTTTTGAATTTAAAGCTAGAGCTTGTGGCAGCCAAGCGTTCATAGCGACGTTGCTTTTTGATCTTTCGATGTCGGCTCTTCATATCATTGTGAAGCAGAATTCAGCAAGTGTTGGATTGTTCACCAACCAATAGGGAACGTGAGCAAGGTTTAGACCGTCGTGAGACAGGTTAGTTTTACCCTATTGATGACAGTGTCGCAATGGTAATTCAACCTAGTCGGAACCGTTCATTCACACAATTAGTCATCGCGCTTGGTTGAAAATCCAGTGGCGCGAAGCTACCGTTTGCTGGATTATTACTGAACACCTCTAAGTCAAAATCCGGGCCAGAAGCGACGCATGCGCACGCCGCTCGATAGTCGTCCTAAAGCAGGGGCTTCGGCCCCAAGGGCACGTGTCATTGGCTAAGCTCGTGCGGTGGATGTGCTGTGAGAGTCACCTTGAAGTACAATTCCTACCGAGCGGCGGGTTGAATCCTCTGCATACGACTTAAATACGCGACGGGGTATTGTAAGTGGCAGAGTGGCCTTGTGTCACAATCAAATTCAGCCTTATGTCGCTTCGATTCGTCCCTCCCCCACCCTATTCCCTAAAAACACCTACATTTTGGAAAATGAGGTTAGAGTTGCTTCTTATATGCTAAAAAATGCTAAGTAGTGGATTCAGACAAGTGACAAAGCCAAAGTGATGGGGTTTGGGATGGTGCAAGGGGGCATGTGGCACGTGCACAAGACATGTGCACCCAAGGACAAGGCATACAAACAACTAGTTTTGTCGTTTGAGGGTATGCCATCGTTGCCTTAAGACATGGTGATTAAGAATGAATGAGATGGTTTTGGGCATCAACCATGACTCCCAAAGCCCTTTGGGAACCCATGGAAGTATTGGGATGCATAATCTTGTCAGGTGAAAAAAATGATGTATGGAAGCCAAATTTGAAGGCTATAATACACGAAATCGGAGCAATTTAGTAGGTGTCCGGACCCGGTGTCAGAAATTCACGGAATATTACGGGATGCATCCTGAGGTCATATGATGTTGTGTGGACCTATATACAACTATAAGTCAGCTACATAAAGCCCATTGAAAGCTTGTAGCCAATACAAGTGGCGTGTACGAAAACTGGTAAATTGGATGCTTAAAGGCAAATTGGATGGTTTCACCCACCCAATTGGACTCCCGGAGGGTATTAGGGTCTATAGGTAGCTTCTCGACAATTTATGTTTCCGGTTCAAAAACGGTCAAAATTGGCAAAATTGATGGCTATATAATACACGCTTTTTGGCCAATTTCAAAGGTTTCGGAACCCGATGTTGAAAAGTCTCAAGATACCAAGGAATACTCCCCAGGGTCATATAATGTCATTTGGAACCATATTTGATCATTACATGTTGCCATAAATGTCCGTGGTAGCCTCGAGTTTTTGAAATCGGTGCAAATTGTAAACGGGTAAATTGACAGTTTGAAGGTATATTGGATGGTTTTACCCACCCAAATGGACTCCTGGGGTGTATTAGGGTCCATGGGAAGCATCTTGGCAAATTTTATTTTCGGGTCTAAAAAAGTGAATATGGGAAGCATATCCAAAATTGAAGGCTATAATACACAATTTTAGGTCATTTTTTTGACATTTTTCGAAAACAAAACTGGATATGTGGGGTGATTCCCGGAGTCATATAAGGTGGTTTGAAACTATAACACACCTATAAAGATGTCTATAAAGTATTAGGAATGAGTTATGTTTCTATTTTGAAAAATAATGATGTCACAACAGTATATTGTAGTGATATTACTTGACAATAATGATGTCATATGAATATAAAAAAGTCATAAAAGTATATTGAAGTGACGTGACTTGACAATAATGATGTCATATAATAATAATGACTACTTGACAATAATGATGTTATATGAATATAATGATATCATAAAAGTATATTGAAGTGATGTGACTTGACAATAATGATGTCATATAAGTATAATGATGTCATATTATGTAATTATATTTATAATGATGTGATGTCATACTATATGATGGGACTTGACAATAGTGATGTGACTTCACACTGTGATTTGGAATTGGAAAAGAACGCATGTTATATATGATGTAACTAAGGATAATCATACTACTTTTTTATTGATGTGTCGATTGATAGACTATGGATAGTAATAATATTTTTATGGAATCATCATACTAGTACTATTCATGTTTGTAATCCAAGTATCAAATCTCATCTCATATTCCATCATCAATTACACAAACTGTCCCTCAATCACCATGTCCCAAGGTCAATTGGCACATTCCCGGTATAAAACAACCTCGAAAAACGAGCAGTAAAGGTAATGTGGGATGTACCAAAGTGTCAAAATTACATCCCCTGCCATTCTAAACCTTTTTCCCATGTTATGGGGCTGTTTCAGCAACTTTTCCGGTTTTTCCAATTACCGCCTTTTTTCCCGTATACCACAAAAAATATTTATTGGAAAAAAAATGTGTCCATTCTTTGGATTTCATCAAAAAAAAAAAAAAAAAAAAAAAAAAAAAAAGGGTGTTATTATCACATTTTCTCAAGAGATGAGAGAACATATTGTGGATACGTTAGAAAATCATGCAACTATAAAAAAAAATTGATATCCACTTTTACCTTTACTTAGCTCCACTTATGGGGTGAAGAAAGAGCATAGCAATTAAAAATTAAAAAAAATAATAAAAAAAGAGAGAGAAATAATGTAAGAAACTTAAAACATTTACCTAGAACAAAATAATTTTTTTGTTTTAAAAAAAACAAGGCTACTAACCTGGCAAGGTATCGAACATATGACATAAGACATTGGCGATATTCGTTTGGAGATTTCAATGCCAAAGCTGATGCTAATTGAGCCTCCAAGTGCGAACGGGTTTGCATACCATCATCAGCCACCCTATAAAGGCAGAAAATATACATATTTTTACTCTTGAGGGAAATATGAGAAATATGAATCAAATTACTTAAAGAAGCAATTTTAATTACAACTCCAAATTTGATCACACCCCTATAATTTCAACATCAATACATACATCCATCGCAGGATGCTAATGCATGCATTGATATGTTAACCAACAAAAATTCTAGGTTTCCAAATCACAAAGAAAATCTACATAATAAGTTTAAGTGAAAAATCATACAATTGAAACAGAAAAGCATCTGCCAATGCACAAACTGTAAGACAGCCCAATGAGAATTTAAAGACCATGTTAATATGTTATGTAATATGGTTACTCATGCTGTACCAAGAATAACCTCGCTTCCATGTAATAGGTATTGTGTTACGTTATGGCAATTGGCCAATATACAGTTAAACAGGATTATGATATTTCATGTAATACAGTTATACAGAAAAGCGTATGCCAATGCAACAAATTTTAAGACACCCCAATGAGATTTTAGGGACCATGTTATGTCACATGGTTACTCATGCAGTACCGAGAATAACCTCTCTTCCATGTAATAGCTATTGTGTTGCGTTATGGCCTATATACAGTTAAACAGGATATGATATTTCACGTGATAAAAAGCCTGAATTTTTTTAATGAAAAGAGAACTTTTAAAATTAAATTTAATCAATGACTTACCGACTCCAACCTGGCTTTCTTGCCAAGAATTTTCTCACGTCCACCTGTAATGTCGCAAGCTCGCCACTCTGAGAGGAGCCCAAATTCCAGGAACTTGCAAAGTTTGATGCAGGGAAGCAATCATCAGCTACTCGAAGCCAGCACTTCAGACTCATATCGAAGAGAAAAGCATGACGAGTGGCTAATACAACAAGAGGTGAACCAGACTTTGACAGCTTTGCGGAAATTATTTTTATAGCAGCTGAAAAGATCAAGCAAAAGGTCAGAATCTGCCATGCTATCTGCCAAGGTTAATTCAACCAAACTCAAAAAAACAAAAGGTTGTCACATAAATTTTCAAGGATAGAACAAAATACTACGGAGTATACTTCATAACTTCATTCATTTTCCCTTCATTATAGAAAACAATTGTGCAAACAATTTTGTACTTGCCTGCATCTTTAGAAGAAGCATTTGGATCAGCAGTAATCAAAGATGCCAATGAGTCTTGAAGAAGACAACTTCGGTTAAATAAGTCCCACAAATACAAAGACCCCTTCTTTGTGACAAGCAACAATTTCCAACATTCATCGCAATCAACAAACACTGCAGCAGAACCCATCATCATGGTTGGCATGGCACGCCTTCCACATTTTGTGTACACCTTTTGCAGCAAGAAAAGCAGAAAACCCCACAACCAAAGATTTCATTAGAATGTTGCTTTAACTTCAAAGAAAACATTTAGCAAATATTCAGTTAGGATAAATGACAAAAGTTAGATATAGAGCCCATCAATGTGAACAGATCTCATTAGGAGAAACAGGCCAAAAGCAAAGACAAGAAAGTTCAGGGAAGGAACCAATGACAGCAAGGCCAACAACACCAATTAAGGATCAGATATTACAAAAACATCGATTTCCAGTTTACAATCAACCATGCTAAGGTGGATATCTAGAGTTTGCAGCAGCAGAAAGAAAGATGGATAAAACTTGCAGCAAGAAATGGTTAATTTTGAAGTTCGAAGCAGAAGAAGGTGGATATTTGGAAGCAAGTAAACTTTTGCAATTTAAATCAACATAGTTGACAACATAGTACATATTCATCAGAAGATAGGCAGAATAGACTGTATATCTTGAAAGGGTTGATTACCTGTAGACAACCGTCTTCGAACCCAACAGCCCAGAAGTTAGCATTTCCAGCCAAAACTGAGACCTTCCCTGTAATACGGTCAGACCACAAAGTTTGGGATCCTCTACTACAGACAATTTCTGTTTCCTTCACCAATGACATGTTACTCAAGCCAACGATGTCACTAACTGCATGCTCTCTAGGGCGAGCTTCCAATGTAAGTGGCATTGCATCAGTACCCTCCTTCTTATCTACAACCTTTATTGCAAAATTAGCATTACAAGCGGCTAAAGAACTTGAGGCCTTTGCAATGCTTGAAGATTCAACAAGAATACCATCATCTCTACTTGAAGCAACTGGAACTCTTTCAATGACCAAACTATCACTAAAGCAAGCCTTGGCCGTGACCCCACTACGTTCCTTAACATCAGAACCTGCTCCAAGGGTTCTCCTAACTTTAGCAACACTTGAGTCTATTCTTCCATCAGAAGAGGCTAGAGATAGATCAAGTGCTTGAGACTGGGGCGCAGCAGTTATGTTTTCTTGCTGCGGAGGCATACCCACAGGTTCAGGTATAATCCTTTTTCTACCATCAGGCCGCCTATATTCTTTCTGCTTCACAGGACTAGAAACACGAGCAGAAGAAGCCACTTTATTTAAACCCTCAGAGTTTATTCCTCCATTTTTCTTTCCATTGTCAAGATGTGATTCAGAGACCTTTGTCACAATCCCCAAATCAGACGAAGGCTTTGAAGCTACCTGCTCCTGCTGCACATCCATGGTAACTTTCTTACTTGGGGTTTGCTTCGCTGCAGCTGCTTCAAGTAACAGTTGTGCAGGGCTTTCAGCTAAGTTAGCTTGCCGGCCCCTAACATCGCCGTAGCGGCTTTTCTTTAATTCATCTAATTCCTCGTCTGTTAGCCTCTGACCAATTTCTTTAACTTCAAAATGAAATGTTGCTACCGAGCCATCTAAGGAACAGGCAAAAAGTGAGTATCCGTCAGGGCTCCTGTTTCCAAAAGAAAATTGTATGTGAGATAGAGATGGGGTAATGACAATTAAACTAACAAAAGAAGATAGCAATAGACAATACTTGTCCAATGATTAAATTTGGGAGAGCTACAATAGACGCAAGATATTACCAAGATAAATCAACAACACTTTGAGTGAAAAAATGCTTTGCCACAAAGAGAGGACGTGGACTTGCAGTAGTCCAGACAGTTATAGTACGATCCTGACTACCAATGGCAATAACATTATATGGCTGTAAGTCTTTTCCTCCAGTTTTTGAAGTCCCATTAGCCCATCCAGCAGATGAAGATTTAACATCCTGAGGATTGGAGAAATTTCTTTTGAACATTGAATGATTGAATTTCACAACTATAATTGGGGCATTATGTCCCAAGAAGTCAAAAGTAGCAGCCCATTCGCCTCTTTCTAACACAGGTGCTGAATGTCTGGGCTTTTGGAAACCATGAGTTGTTGTTATGAAATGGCCACAAGGAGACCACCCAAGCCGCCTAAAAAATGTTGACCCAAGCTGTAAAAAGATATGATTCCTTATAAATTACCGCACAAAGGAACTGCAAATTTATTTTGGACAATCAATGAAAACAGTTCTAGAAAAGACTTGAAAGAGAACTTCAAGAATGGTCAGATATCATACGGATTTGGCCCAATGGCCTTCGGTCTTGTGGGCAAGACTCCAATCGGTCGTTCTCCATACAATAACAGTCTTGTCGTCAGATTGGCTAGCTATAAAGGAGCCAATGGGATCCCAAGTGACACCTTTAACCAAACTAGCATGACCTCGGAGAACTGCCGTGCAAATTCCACTGCTCATATTCCAGATGTGGATTGTGTTATCGAGACTTCCACTAGCCAACATTGAGTCATCTGGAGACCAATTAAGATCCACCTACTTCATGCATGAAAAGATACTCAGGTCAAACAGTCTCATGTTAAAGCCAATTATGCTTCAGAAAACAAACATAGAACTATACCATTGGCAGTTCAGTAAGCTGAAATAGCATTTGTTAATATCAAGCATTATTTTAGTGTAGCAGAAAAGCACATGTCAGCCATGTGATTGATGTTTACTGATTTCACACCATATATGAAGTTTTGAAGGATATAGCTGTGCAAACGATAAGAACATAATTATGTGCCATGCAAACAAATCAAGGAGAAATCAAGAGTGAAAATAAAATCCAACTCAAACAAAAGTATACAATCTTGAACTGACTCTAAAGATGGGAATGTGAGTATGATTGAATTAGGTTCATGTCATGCACAAGTAGTTACAATAAAAACCATGTTCTGGAGAGAGTATATATAATTACCACATCTGCAGTGTGTCCCCTTAGAGTCATGACAACTTTCCAATTTTCGATGTCCGGAGGCTCACCACTACCAAATTCAGTGGTTCCTGAACCAGGTCTCCTTTCATGAATCAAAATCACTTGATCATCAGACCCTGATGCAATGTGCCGACCATGTTTGGCCCATCTGACACAGTTAACTGAACCAAAGTGATCACGAAGAGTTGCAAGATTTCGGTGTGTCTGATCGTCCTTGTCAGAATCTCTAGCAACAGATTTCATGTTCCATATTCTCACCTGGAAACAAATTTCAACATCGACTAAGATTATCCATCATATAATTCATATCAAACAACTCGACAATAACATCAAACATCAATTGCCAAATAATCTTTTTGAGACACTAAGACAAAGCCAGAAAGCCAAAGGAAAGAGCTGCTCCATATTACCACAACTGACTTCTTAAACAATACTCGGCAATAAGCTCCAAAATATTTAAATTGAAACGTTTAATGCAGTTCAAAGAAGCAATTATTCACATATCACAAAAAGACCGTAGTGTGGCACAGTTAAACAAAATCTCGAAAGCAAACTATCCAACATTAAATCAAAACAGTAAGCCTAAAAGTTAAGATCATTGAATTACAGGATAGAATTCAACAAGACAATAAAATAATTCACAAGTTTCCAAATTCTCAGTAGGCAACCTAGCAAAAGCCAGTAAATTTACTAAGTTTTTACATTTTTCCAGCTCAATAATACAGCATTTCAACCAATTTCTGACAACATTACTATACATTACCAAAAAGTAACAATGAGCATTAAGAAACCCTAAATTAATTAAAATTGTATAATTTAGGAAATTAGAGGACAAAAATAGAGCTCTAACCTTGTGATCTCCACCACCAGTAGCAAACCTAAGACCACCAGGTTGAATATCAATGGAGAAAATCTGCATACCCTCATGCCTAATCCAACTGGGTTTTTCGGCAATCATCTTATTTTTCAAATAACTACTTGATTAATACCCAAAATCTACCAAATTTGCTACAAACCTCAAAAACCCATTAACTGGGTTTTAATGAAATGGGATATTACAAACTAAATTGACCCAAAAAAAACCCTAGACCTAGGAATGCAAAACCCTAGGTGGGTATGATAAAGGAAGAAGCTTGAGGCTGAAGTGTTCTTCCCCTTTCTTTCTCTTTTTTTGGATTTTTTTTTTTTTTTTTTTTTGTAACGGTCGAAGGTTGAGTTGATGTTTTTTTTAGGGGGTGAAAAAGAAAGAAAGAAAAGAGTGACCTAAAAAACCTGAAATAGTGAATCTGGGTTGATTGATTTGTAATTGCCAAAATTTGACAATGAAGAGAAAGATCGAAGGATGATGAAAGACAGGAGAAGAGTAAAAAGATCGAAAGAAGCAAACAAGGGTTACCAAAGAGTACAAACTTTTGCCGTCACAACTCACAATTCACAATGGCACATTAGTAAAATATGATTTGATGTTAGTTGAGGGTTTGTCTAATTGTCTTTTGCCTTTAATTATTAATGCAAAAAGACCTATGTGGAGTGATTTTTATGTGTTTTTGTAGAGATGCATTAGTATGATATTGGTATATTATTATTAGCATTAGGAGCACGGAATCCTAAATTTAATTTGGGCCTAAATTCGGATTTAAATTGAGCCAAAATAGATAAGATTGAGATATTCCAATCGATCTCCCGTCTTTGGATATATTTTACTGTATTTTGATACAAACGCGTTGATAGATAATAGGTACTCGAATACATATGTCGTAAGCTCAAAATTGGAATACATAGTATTTTACGGAGTACTGTATAGTATTGAGATGTTATTTGATTAACTTGCAAATTGAATTCCTTAAAAATTTCTTAAAAAATATTGGCATGTTATAGGAATTTATTTCACTAATAAAATTCTTAAGAAGAAATTTAATTTGTTTGAATAGTAATATGATAATTAGGGGTGCTTATGATGCGAGTCGAGTTCGAGTTTGGAGTATCTTGACTCGACTCGACTCGACTCTGTAACATATCAAGTTGAGTTTTGACTGAGTTTTGACCGAGTCGATCTTGAGTAGCTTGTTAATTGATTTGGTCTTGGTAGAACCCCATATAGTGTAATGTTTGTTCCTTCTCTTTAGTTTTGTATTATAAGAAACATACATGGAATGATATGAGTATGTAAATGCTATATATTTATTTATTATTGCAAAATAAAGTTTATGAATCAAAAATCTTTATTTTTATTAAATATAATAATGTATAAAGGAATTCGAGTTTCTCACGAGTTTTCAAGTCGAGTATTGACTCGATTCACTAACAATTTTGAGTCAATCTCGAGCTTGAGTCGAGAATTGTCTCGTCTCATAATGACCCTAATGAGAATTTCCTTCAATTCTCACTCCATCATTTTGTTTGTCAAACTGTCAATCAACCCATCTAACTTTTCAATTCCCAACGAAAATCTACTTCCCACATTTTATGTTGTCAACCAATGCCCGAAAGTATGCTTCAATGAGCTCATTGGAGCTTGCTGCTTCTTGCTTGTTAGGTGTGTATTCTTTCTCCCTTTCGAATTCCAACTTTCCAAAGACCATATTATTTCATGTAGCAGAAAAATTCTATCAAACAAAGTGCTAATCTGCTATAGAATTTGACATTATAACTGTAATCACCCATGATTCTCTTTAGACCTCATTACAACAGACTTGCAGAAGTCAAATTTAGGCAAGCTTCAATTTTTTTGAGACACCCACAAATTCTGTTTGAAACCCAGAATTTATATCACTTCCATGGACTTGCTTATGATCCCCAAATTCCATCTAGTGATGCGAAATCTAAAGTGGGATACAATGCACACCAACTGTTCGATGAAAGGCCTGAGCGAAATGTTGATATCTACCATCAATTGCTCTTTGAATATTCTCGTAGTAACAAGAACGCGGAAGCTTTGAATTTATTCTTGGACATGCATAGGTTAGGTTTGGTCGACAACGGATCGAGCCTCTCTTGTGCACTGAAGGTATCCGGTGTTTCGAACAATAAAACTGTTGGAAAACAATTGCATTGCCATTGTATTAAATCAGGCTTTGCAGTGGATGTTAGTGTGGGTACTTCTCTTGTTGATATGAATATGAAATGTGATAATGTGAAGGATGCAAAGCGCGCTTTTGATGAAATGGAGGTAAAGAATGTGGTTACATGGACTTCGTTGCTGTCCGGATATGTGCAACAGGGATTAGTAGAAGAAGCATTACAGGTATTCACACGTATGGGAACGGAAGGGATTAAGCCTAATCCTTTTACTTATGCAGCTGTATTCGGGGCGTTGTCAGATTACGACATGATTGCCAAAGGAAGCCAAGTTCATGCAGAAGTAATAAAAAATGGTTCTAAATTTTATAATCCAGTGTCCAATTCCTTAATTAACATGTATGCGAAGTCTGGAATGGTACAAGAAGCTAGAGATATTTTTTCTGGCATGGAAAGCAAGGATGTTGTTTCTTGGAATGGTATGATTGCAGGTCTTGTGGCAAATGGGCTTGATAGGGAAGCTCTTGAACTGTTCCAGAATATGAGATTTGAAGGCATACTGCTTACACGGCTTATCTATGCTACCATCATTAAAGCGTGTGCTAGCATAAAGGAATTCTCTCTTGTGAGACAGCTCCAGTGTCAAGTATTAAAGAGTGGATTTGACTTTGATCTAACTATAAGGACTTCTCTTATGGTAGCTTACAGTAAGTGTGGTGACATGGATGGTTCTTTCAAGATGTTTGAGACAATGCGAAAAAGTCAAAATGTGATCTCCTGGACAGCCATGATTAGTGGGTACTCGCAGAATGGTGGAAAGGAAAAGGCAGCTTATATCTTTCTAGATATGAACAGGATGGGAATAAGACTAAATGATTTCACTTATTCTGCTATCCTTACGGCTCATCCTTGTGTATCTCCCTATCAGTTACATACGCATATAGTCAAAACAAATTATTTGGGCTCTCCAAATGTTGGGACTGCTCTCCTGGATGCTTATATCAAGGCTGGAAATGTAATTGAAGGCGCCAAGGTGTTTGAAAACATTAGTCAGAAGGATATTGTGGCATGGTCTGTGATGTTAGCTGGGTATGCTCAAGAAGGGAACGCAGAGGGGGCTATTAATGTCTACCGCCAGTTATCAAAAGAAGGGATTTGTCCAAATGAGTACACTTTTAGTAGTGTCATCAATTCATGTGCAGCCCCTGAAGCAGCAGTAGAACAGGGCAAACAGGTTCATGCTTCCTCTATTAAATTTGCATACAACAACTTTTTGTGTGTTAATAGTGCTCTTGTTACAATGTACTCAAAGAAGGGTAACATTGATAGTGCAAATAAGTTATTTAAAAGGCAAGAAGAAAGAGACTTAGTTTCATGGAACTCTATGATTTCTGGATATGCACAACATGGTTATGCACACAAAGCCCTTGAGGTATTTGAGGAAATGCGAAGAAAAAATGTAGAAATGGATGGGATTACATTTGTTGGTGTGATTTCTGCCTGTACTCATGCTGGACTATTGGAAGAAGGTCAAAAGTACTTTGACCAAATGGTCAATGAGCATCATGTTTATCCAACCATGGAACACTATGCCTGTATGGTGGATCTTTATAGTCGAGCTGGGATGCTTGAAAAAGCCATGCACTTCATAGATAAGATGCCATTTCCGGCTGGGGCAACAGTGTGGCGAAGTCTTTTGGGTGCTTGCCATGTTCGGAGAAATGCAGACGTGGGAAAGGTTGCTGCAGAAAACCTCATATCAATTGAACCAAAAGATTCTTCTGCCTATGTTCTATTGTCAAACATATATGCAGCTACTGGAAACTGGAAAGAGAGAGCTGAAGTCAGGAAATTAATGGATCTCAGAAAAGTGAAAAAGGAAGCAGGTTACAGCTGGATTGAAGTCAAGAACAAGACTTACTCTTTCTTAGCTGGTGATCGTTCTCATCCATTGTCAGACCATATATACGCAAAGCTTGAAGAGTTGTCTACTAGATTGAAGGATGCAGGATATAGTCCAGATACAACATATGTGCTTCATGATGTGGAAGATGAGCACAAGGAAACTATCTTGTCTAAACACAGTGAAAGACTGGCCATAGCTTTTGGACTTCTTGCAACTCCACCTGGCACTCCTATCCAAATTGTGAAGAATCTGCGAGTCTGTGGGGATTGCCATGCTGTTATTAAATTAATATCCAAAATTGAGGGACGGGAAATAACTGTTCGGGATTCAAATCGTTTTCATCACTTCAAAGGAGGATTGTGTTCATGTGGTGACTTTTGGTGACTTTCAAGTTAGGCCAAAGCATGTAGGATGGAGGCTTTGTGCGTTTTCCAGTTGAAGAACGAACTTCCAACAACTCAAGACTTGACTTGTATGAACTTTCATATCCATTACCTTCTCTTACAAATGTGAACTTTTTGCAGAATACTCATTTATTTGAGGGTAATTATGGCTACCACTAGACCTCCCTGAACATATTTATCAAATGTCATATTTTCTGGAAGGTGATAGTTGTTTCGTGTTGTTGGGGCTAAACCTTCAGCCTATGCAAAAACAACTCAATCTGTATGATGTCTTCTAAATAGATGTTCGCAAAAATGCTTTGGCTGGCTTGTTATGCTTCTCTATTTTCATGCTGGAAGGCAGTCAGATTTTACTTTGCCTTGTAATCCTGGATGATTGAGGTACTTGCAGGCTGCAGCTCAACCTATCAATCAAGGTTTGTCATATGTTTCTTCTGAATAAACCCTCTATTCCATAAACCCTCAGATATATTTTTATTGATTATTGTCTATCCATAGGTGGAGCAAGGAGAACTTTACATCAGAGTGTATAAGAGTTTCTCTAGAAGTTCCAGCAAGGCAATTACTTGCAGAATGCCTGCTAAACTGTAAAAATCAATGTTTTGACTAATTGGGAATTCTATTACTCACCGATTCCTGAAACAGAAAGTTTCCATGCAAGAATGACCTAGAGATGGTTAAATGCCGCTTTCAGAGCATGACAGCATAGCTAGCAAACCTGTTTCAGAGTGCGTATGGGATTAGGAGAGTTTTTAGCATCCTCAGGAGCTTGTCCAACAAAGGGCACTCATAGATATGGATAGGAGCAACTGAACATCAAAGCTCTATATCATCCCATGGAGGTATGAGAGTTCAATATTTGCGTACATTACATTTTTACAAGTGATAAAACAATGAACTCTCTTTCAAGTAAGGCCCCGTTTGGTTTAATGTAAAACATTTTCAATGGAAAATTAGTTTTCATGGAAAACATATTTTCAAGGAAAAACACAATTGCAAATTAGTTTTCCTTTATTTGGTTGCATATAAGAAAAGTCCAAGAAAAATAAAAAATAAGAGTCGAAATGTAAGGATGAATGAGAGGGAAGTAAAAAAAGGAGGTAAGGAAGAGAAAGGAAAATGTGGCTTTCCTTGTTTTGGGAATGAAAATGTTTTCCATCATTAAGGATAGAATTTTCCACCCTTGGAAAAATTGTTTTCCACCCCTTAACAAACCAAACAAAGGAAAATGGGAAAAAAATGAAAAATTCATTTGAATTCATTTTCCATGAAAACCTTTTACATCAAACCAAACAGGGCCTAAATGGCTGATACTTCATGTCTTATCTAGTACTCCCTCTGTCCAAATCAGAAGTCAGAATTATATCTCCTACCATGCCGCTACATAAAATTTAATACGGGTATTATATTTAGCTATGTATAGCATATCGTGCCATATGGATCATGGGATGTATTCCAGGGGTGTAATTTATTCATAGCAACAGCTCAATGGAGGATTCAAGAATTGTATTAGAGACCAGAAATAACTTTAAGTCATATGTGCCATTGATTGAATGATTGGCCCGGTTGTCGCTCAAGTAATTGTAAGCAATTTGAATTTGTTGTATTTTTTAACTGCACACAAGTATCTACTCTGTAATGTTTAAGAATAACATACGTCAAATAATTACTTGTGGAATTAATGCTTCAATTGATTGATTACATATGTTTTCTTGAAATTTTTTGACTGATGATGTGCTAAACTTTCTTTAGAACAAATTCATTTGTAGTTTTTTTAGCTTTTACCTTTAGCTATTATTAAATAGGGATGTGATCAATTATTTACCAAAATGGTATATATCTATTGGCAAGTCATTCGCATAACGCATGAGAGGTCGGGGTGACAGAATTGTATCATGTAAGTCGATGACAGTGAGATCTCTCGACCCTTTTCTATGAAAGTGTGTCTTTCTCGAGACTGTTGGGAGGCATGCAAGGGTCACAAAGATGATCAGGCATACATATGTCCACCGAATGCGCTACTGATTGGACTCTTGAGTCCACTACAATGGTGATTGTAAGCAATAGATGCAAACAGGTTTAACCAAGTTCAATGAAACTACTCAACTATTGTATTCCTTCCGTCTCAAAATTTATGGACCTAGTTAAACTAGGCAGGCTGCTTTTGATTGTTTTAACAAGGAAACATGTAAGTATGCTATAAAAAGTTTAAATTATAAACATATATTTAATACGGAGTACTAATTTAGCAACCATTAATATGAAAAAACAAAAAATGTGATTTGACAATACGGTTTAAGTTACTATACGAACAGTGCAAAGTCATGCAGAAGCAAAGAAACTACGAGGTATATTGATGAATAACAGACGCAGACTGATGCACTGTTTTGCAAATATGTATAAATGAAAGTGGAAAAAGGATCAAAACTTACAAAGTCTGTAATTAAAGATTGGATGTATCATGCACTGTATTACTTACAAAAGATTGTCAAACATCGAGTGCCAAGCAGGCTACTTCTTTTGATACACAAATTAATGAGCAACAACTTAATGCACAATTATAGGGCCTTGTTTCAACCACAGACAAAACAATTTCTTCAGATATCAAATATCAGAGTAATCGAAATACAAGAGGAGAGTGAATTACACCATTGCTCTTTTACAAGGGGCAGGGAGAGTAATTCCTTTGAAAATAATACCAAGAATTAAATTACGAAGTTATGCAACCTCCTCGTGGTGACATGGCAACCTTCCTTCAGAAAAACTAACCTTCCTCTCCAAACTCTTTTGTAAATCTCTCATGAACCTCAAGGTCTGATTTGCTCACAGTTGGCCTCTGCCGGGCGAGAACTTTTTCAAAATCTGTTCTTGTAATCGGGGGCGGAACAATCTGTAACGAGGAATAAAATGCATTAAAATTCACACCATATATCAATAGACCGTTGTCTTGTGATTAGCAAAAGCAACCATAACAGCATAAAACCATGTCATGACTAGCAAATTGAGTGAAGATATCTTTTAAGTGCAGAAAAAGGAGGGAAAAAAACAGAAGAATATCCACAGAACTACAGCCTACAATTCAAAACTTTGAATAAAGTTCAAATCAGCTTGAGAAACTGTTTTTTTTATAAGCAATTGCACTCAAATTTGTTATTTCATGCTCTAGAGCATCACATGCTTTCCTTAAACTTTCAGTACCCAATAGATTTGAGGAGGGACTAACTATCTGCTTAATCATTCAGTCGGAAAACCTTTACCAATAGCAAAATTGATACTGTTAAATGCTACCTCCGTTTCTTTTTAGTTGACGCGTATTCCTTTTTAGGAAGTTTTTTTTAGTTGACACGTTTCCTTTTGGGATAAATTTTTTACCTTGCATTTACAAGCTACCTTGCTTGCTTTTTCATTCTCTCTCACTCTCTCTCCTCTCCTTAATATATGTGCCTAAATCAAACATGTCAACTAAATAGAAACGGAGGAAGTATACAGGATTGAACACCAATTTGGAAGTCTAATTGCTTGAGTATATTTATAGCCAATATAGAGTAAGCCTCAATAATCAGCTTGTCCTACAGAGTATAAGCAATAAATGATGATAGCTTTCTCGATGTTTGAATTCAGCGCATACCTTAGCAGCAAGTCCTTCTGCTGCAAGATCCTGCATGGTAGTTTGGACAGCACCTGGCTGCCTAGGTCCACAGGGAACCCACACATCATCTTTTGTCTTAAAGAAGAACATTGCATCTTGGGTTTTACGAACAGGTTCAAAAAGTACATCCTTGACCTGTGAACAGGCATAAATATAATGGACAATAAGACAATCTTTTAAGAAAATAGGAAAGAATATGATACAAACAAATATAAATTAATAAATACATATAAATTTAACAAGAGACACTAATTTTAGTATTTCCAGTCTTTGTAGCACTTACACAAACAGCTATATCTGAACCAGAGAAGCCCTCTGTTTTACGAGCTAAGAATTCAAAATCACTCTCATTCAGGTTGTGAGGGGTATCCCCAAGATGAACCTGAGTTCACAAAAGAAACAAAATACATTTAATGAGCAGAATTTTATTTTAGCATGTAAAACAGAGCATGTCTCCAAATATAGAAATGGCTAAGAAACTACAAGGCAGCTAGAAGAATTAAAAACATTTAAGAACCTTAAACATATGCTGCCGAGCCTTTTGATCTGGTAGGGGGATATAAATACGCTTGTCAAAACGTCGCCTAATAGCCTGCAGATATAATCCATTTAGATATATAGGTACAGAAATCCCTCAGTGGAAAGTAGAAAGGGATGTGGATGTAGAGGTACCTGATCTAAAGCATACGGTGTGTTTGTTGCAGCAAGAACAAGAACTTTTTCATCGTTGTGTCCAACACCCTAAGTAATATTGCATCAGAAACTTTAGGTTTAACATCTCAAAGTTAAAGAGCAGAAATCAACAAGCAAAAACAATCAATGGTGTGCTACAAATTAACAGTACAAGTCAAAGCCAATACATTCAGCTCATCCAAATTTAAAGGCAGGGGAGGGTGAGAATCAAAAGAACTGAAGGATGATAGAAGGATTAATTATCAGATAGTTTTTCATCACAGTAATTTCACTACACCCTACCAAGTGAAAGCCTAAATGCTTGTTTAATTAACAGCAAAATTATCTTTGATTATCCTATCTTCAACAAACAGAACTATATTTTCGAACTCAATGCTAGTAGAAATTGTAAAAATATGGAAGAAACACCTTCCTAATGCCTAGACATATTACTTCCCATGTTAAACCAAACAAGCACTCAACATAATTTTCTAGTAAGGTTTCCCCTTATTCAATGATCTCTTATAATTCTCTCTCTATTCTTGATTAAGATCACGTTTGCAAAGCTTAATTCAATCAAAAATATCTTTAATTATACTTTTTGTGAAAAAAAAATACTAAAAATTGAATTCTAATTAAGAACACACTGAAACAAATCTAACAAGAACCTACACCAATGTGTTTTTTCATATCTACAAATCACAAATGGATGTCAAAGCAAAGTTTATGAATAGTGTCATAAGTAAAACGTGTCAATTAATTGGAAAGGAGGAAGTATGTCAGAAATCGACAGGCCGCAAGTTGGTACAGATAATCTAAAAAAATTATATGTCCTCCGTTTTTTTTAGTTGCATCACTTTCCTAAAAAGGGGTTTTAAATTAGTTGCATCTCTTTCAATTTTAACTAATAAATTCTCTCTATCTCTCTCCTACCACATGGGGCCCCAATTATATTTTCTCTACCTCTCTCTACTCCAAAAATTGCAAAGGAGTCTGTGAAAATAAAAGTGATGCAACTAAAAAAAGGAGGAAGTAATAAAAGTATAAAAATTTGATAAATATGGCTCAGATCAAAATACATCATTTGCAAATTAATTTCTCATCACAAGAATTTTTCTAAGCACAAAATGACATTGCCCAGAATGACAAGTTAGCAGATGAAAATTAACCAACACAAAGACAAGTGAGTCATTTAATCTCAAAAGAGTCAGAACAGGATATTTTGATTAGCTACTTCTCATGTCACGAGAGGAAAATGGTTGGGGAATGGGAGAAGGAGACCATGCTAGCGTAGCAAAACAGAGTTATCACGAATATAGCAAATCAGCACAGCTTAAAACATGAAAGAACTATCTAAATGTCAAACCAAGTGATCGTAAAGCAAAATAACCTGCATTTGCACAAGGAGTTCTGTCTTGATACGTCTGGAAGCTTCGCTTTCATTTCCTTCTCCTCGTTGACCACATAATGAGTCTATTTCATCAACAAAGATAATCGAAGGAGAACTCTCACGGGCCATTTGGAAAAGATTGGAAACTAATTTTTTCACTTTCACCCATCCATTTGGATACAAGATCTGAAGATGATACACTATACAAAAGAAAAAGGAAAAAAAAGGGAGTTGAAACTTAATTCAAAATTTTCATTTGAGTAGAACCAATGTGTCACTAGATTCTAGTTGATACCGCATAACAAAATACAGATTGGGTGATGCAGCTGTAGCCAAAAAGCTAACAGACAACAATTAAAATAAAATAGTGGCACAAAGAGACAAGCATTAAGCCAGAGGGAAACATTAACGATGAGAACAAGAAGATAGAAAATAGATCATATGCAATAAATGATCAGATAAAACTGAGATCCTCCCCATCTTTTACTTTGTTATCTAGTGAAACAAAGCTACAAGATGGAAGGTACTGCATCAGCTCTTAAATTGCACCTGGAGAGGCTATATACATGCCATTTTAATTATAGAGGGAGAACCATTACTTGTTGAAAAAACTATACTTGTTTTCAATAGGAGGAACTAGATCTTGAGAAGAAGTACAATGAACAACGATGATAAAAAGCACCCAGTATCAATCCCAAATAGCAAGGTTGAGGAAACAACTTATTCTAGTAGTTAAAGACTACTTAAGAGGGTTATTTCTTACGTGCCTATTTACCATAGAGGAGCTAGTACAGTAATCAAGTCAACGCTTTACAAACTATAACTAAATTCAGTATAACCTCTTCAGTTTGGCCACATTAACAACACAACCCCCATTGGCCGTCGTTTGTGATTTGAACATAAGGAAAATATCAACTTATTATAATTTTTACTTATTGATACAAAGATATTAAT